GCCGAGAATATCCGACAGGATTCGGCGCGCGAAGTATTGATCGACCTCACCAGCCTTTAGATGACGGACAAGGCCACTAAAGAAGAAGGGGCAGCGGCCTTGAAGGTTTTGCTAGAAAGGCTGTTGGAACATTGGGCGGACGAATCTTTACGACCAAACTCACCAATCAACCTGATCGAATTCCTCCACGAATCAGACGAGACGAACGCTCTAACTTTGGACGACCTGGAAACGGCGCCCGCCGAGATAGAGGATGACTACCCTGAAGTCCAGGATCCTTTGTTAGAAATACATGTAGGGTCGGAGGCCGAACCACGGCCTCTTTTTGTAAGCCATCTCTTGGATCCTAAGTTAGCGGCCGAGGTTATCGGCTTGCTCCATGAATATAAGGACTGTTTTGCTTGGGATTATCACGAGATGCCTGGGTTGCCGAGAAGTTTGGTCGAACACGAGTTGAGAATCAAGGATGGGTTCAAGCCTTTCCAGCAGCCGCCAAGGCATTTCTCGACCGAGGTACAGCTCAAGGTCAAGGAGGAAATTGAACAGCTCCTTAAAGCCGGCTTCATTCGAACAGCCCGGTACGTTGAGTGGCTAGCCAACATTGTACCAGTTTTAAAAAGGACTGGGGCTTTGAGGGTTTGCACTGATTACCGAAATCTGAACCTCGCAACCCCCAAGGACGAATACCCCATGCCAGTGTCAGACCTCCTGGTGGACGGGGCCGCCAAGCACGAACTCTTGTCTTTCATGGACGGCCATGCGGGTTACAACTAGATTTTCCTAGCCGAGGAGGATGTCCACAAAACGGCGTTTAGGTGTCCAGGAGCAATCGGAACCTATGAGTGGGTAGTCATGCCATTCGGCCTAAAGAATGCCGGCGCAACATATCAGCGAGCTATGAACCTAATTCCGTACCGTCGAAGTCTACATCGACAACGTAGTTGTGAAGTCCCCATCTAGGGCCGACCACGTGGAACATCTCCGACAGGCTTTTGACCGAATGCGGGCACATGGCCTAAAAATGAACCCAAAGAAATGTGCTTTCGGCGTCACCGCCGGGAATTTCCTCGGTTTTTTGGTTCACCAACGAGGAATCGAGGTAGATAAAAATAAAGCTACGGCCATTATGGCGGCCCCTCCGCCAAGAACCAAGAAGGAGCTCCAGTCCTTTCTCGGCAAGGTCAACTTTTTGAGACGATTCATATCCAATATGGCAGGGAAAATCCGGCTGTTGTCTCCCTTGCTCAAACTGAAAGTGTCTGCCGCGCAAATCTCACGGCCTGGAGTTCCGGGGTGAGGGGATGTGCGTTGACACGCGGCTTCCTGCTTTTGGGTGCGGTACGGTTATGCGCGGGCGTGCCAGCACGGTCTACCGTGCGTCGAGATGTTGATGAGTGTAGGATGGATAAGTGGTGCGCCTGTTTGAA